TGGTCAACTACTTTGCAATTGCATACACCCGAGTTGGACGACTGTTCGTTCCTCATATTTATTTTTCTTATAATTTCCTGTTTGTCGCTTCCTTTACGGAACATTTATAAGTTGTTTGGCCTTTATCGTCTGAGATTCATCTGAACTGAAGGTGTCTGCTGATTGCTTACAATAAATCCTTTATTGGTTATGCGATGACCAAATGAAACTGGACATTACCAGTTGTAATAAGAACGGTTCAATTGCCAGAATAGTCAGTCAAAAGTCTATCACTCAAAAGTTTCTACGAAAATTCTGTTTAGTGGAAAACGTCGAATGATATTGATTTCATTGGTGCTCTTCATGATATACTACCTTCTCAACATGCCATGGCCGTTCTATCCGGAGAGCTTGGACTTCATTCAAGTCAATGGTATGCTCCCATTTCATGAACACCCTTTTCTTGACAGAAACGTTGCTCACCTTAGAGCATTCCGTCTATGGGACAGTATGGTCTGAACAATGTAATGATTGTTGAACTCAAATGATCTTCCCTGATCAAATGATCAAATGATCATATATCCAACAATTCAAAGAATCCGTGAATTCGGAAGACTCGTTTTCAATTCTTCTGCCGGTCGGTTGCCGTTGCAAACATTCTGAATAAAAATTTCAGGCACGTACACGGATGTGACCAAAGTGAATGGTGGTTGCTACGATTACTACAAATGGTGTGCGTGGACAAAACGAACACCAATCTATGTGTACATTTTCTGTGCGACTGTCCTTTTTGGTGTCGCCTTTCCCTACTTTGCCACTCCATCCGGTACGATCTATTCACACGTACTTGGACCTCGTAATCAGGTGAGTAGGACATTTTAGTTTGCTTGAATGTTTACAAAAATCGGACGGTGAAGAAATTTGAAGTGATCAGAGATGAGCAAGTGCATTGCCTGAACTTGAAAATTATCAGTACGTTAGCCCACTTCACCAATCGTAAGTGATTGATCAAACGAACNGGTTGATATGAGTGAAATTCTATATTCTATCGTATCATGCTTATAATGGGATAGTTCAAATATTCATTTAACATTCATATTACATTGGCCACTTGCGTTTACCCGAAACGAGAGTACTGAGGGATTGGTATCGTTTTGAGAGTTGAGTACACTGCATCAATATTTTATGAGGGCAGTTTCGGTGAGAGTGGAACCTCTTCACAGACCGACTCTTATGGATCAGTTTTTACTACATCCACAATCTCACAATATATGATACTAATATATCCACAGTGTGCTGAGATATCAGACTGAATTTCAGATATCTTTTCGAGCACTATGGATATATGTATCCAAATATCGTACAGTTCGTTCAACTTCTGATTGCATTTCTATTGGCCTCCATCTTCTATCGACGTCTCGTACCACTTCGACTGGTACCGAAAACTGGCGAGTCGGCCAAATACAAACGAGGAACGTTTTGGCGTTTGTGAAAGGATCATCTAACAAAAAACATTGCTACTGATCAAAGAGCACACGAAGCAATCGTGTTTCAATCAGATAATGATGCACTGAATGTTTTGATCCACTTATTATTCGAGAAACTGCCATACACTCATATAATTAATCGAGTTTTGAATCAGTGTGTGATTTGTGCAATATTTTACTTCAATAATCCGTACATCGTGAGATAGATATGCTTTCAGAAA